TTTAGGTTAACGAAATGTTCTTCTTAATACTAATTGTGTTAAAATGGGTGTTTATGTTATTTGTCAGATATGTATATATATATATATATATATATATATATAAGGTGGTTACGACGCTTGACTCGCAATCGAAGGTTTGCGGGTTCGAATCCCTCGACCAAATATGCTCGCCCTTTCAGCCGTGGGACCCATATAATGGGACGGTCAATCCCACTATTCGTTGGTAAAAGAGTAGCCCAAGAGTTGGCGATGGGTGGTGATGCCTAGCTGCCTTCCCTCTAGTCTTTCACTGCTAAATTAGGGACGGCTAGCGGAGATAGCCCTCGTGTAGCTTTGCGCGAAATTTAAAGCAAACCAAACAAACTAGTACTTCGAAGACGTCGATAAAATAACTAAAGTGGTTTTGTTACAGAATTTAAAGCAAACCAAACATATATAAAAAGAAATTTGTTGATTTTCTAAGAGTTCTCTTCGAAGTGAATACCTTTGGTAATTATTACGATTCAAAATTTCGTCTCATTTGCAAAAAAAAAATATTCTATTTTTGTCTATGCCGCCATCTTTAAGAACTTTACGTTGGTTTTGTTGGACGAAAATCTGATGAAACATTTCATTTGAGATAAGAACATTTTTATGTTGCCATCATTTTATGTTGCCGAAAGACATTGTTTAAGATTACTTTGATGTAAAATGTAAAATGAATTGACGAAGTGTTATTTCTGTTTTTTGTAGTTTCCCTCAAAGAACTTGCTTTAATTTTATTTTTGTTGATGTGGATTGATGGCAAGAAGTTCAAAGCGACAATCTTGTAAGCTCGTTTGTGATTGGCTGACGATGTTGTTAATACTGCCTCATCCTGTTAAGAATTCATGTAACCTATCTGCGTAGGTTCCCTTGACTTTAACATTATTTCGGTTTCCTTATTTTGGTCTACTGTTATTGTCGAAAGGTGTACTTTCACTAATCTAAGTGTGTAAAATATTTATAGATATTACTCCATTTTTTAAAAGTACTGTCATGTATAAATCAGGTCGTATTGATCAAATATTATAATGAGATTATTTTCCTCTTGGTTATTTTACCTCCAATTTTAGAAGTACTAACACTTGCAAATCTTGAATTTTTCACATTGAAAACATTTCACTGTCATATGTTTTATTCCAAGTTTTACAAGTTTAACCACTTACAAAACAACTGTTATTCGGAAAAAACGTTAATAATAAAAACTGATCTTTTTCATTCTCTCAGTAACGATTTTCATTCTGTTTAAAGTTGATTTCGTTATAACTATCAATTTTTAAACCAATAACGATCTACCTCAGACAAAACTTTATAGAAAGTAGTTATCGCGAAGTTCTGATATCATTTTACACTAACTATATAAATCAGAGCTTAGTAAGGTGCATCTTCTGAATTAGTGAAGTCCTATACAACAAACTGACTAGAAGTTCTGATATCATGTTACACTAACTATGTAGATCAGAACCTAGTAAGGTGCATCTTCGGAACTAGTGAAGTCCGATACAACAAACTGACTAGAAGTTCTGATATCGTGTTACACTGACTATATAGAACAGAACTTAGTAAGGTGCATCTTCTGAACTAGTGAAGTCCGATACAACAAACTGACCAGAAGTTCTGATATCGTGTTACACTGACTATATAGAACAGAACTTAGTAAGGTGCATCTTCTGAACTAGTGAAGTCCTATACAACAAACTGACTAGAAGTTCTGATATCGTGTTACACTGACTATATAGAACAGAACTTAGTAAGGTGCATCTTCTGAACTAGTGAAGTCCTATACAACAAACTGACTAGAAGTACACAATGTTATAAAATGATGCATAAGAAAATAAAACCTATAATGATTATAATGCATCGAGTAGTCAAAATATTCAAAACATTGTGACTAATATTATTAATAAAACTAATTATAAAAATGGAATAGGTTATTGCTTATAACACACATAAAACGACCAGTCATAATTTCTTAGCGCCTCTTAGATCTGTATAAGTTTCCAACACACGGTAACTGAACGTGTTTATAAACGCTCATGTGTTAGCAACTAAACACACCAATCTACAAAAACTACCAAAACACACACACACACACACACTCAAAATCATAAAACGCCCTCTAACCACATAACTAAGAAGCATAGTACAGCTGGATTGTCTGGATTTAACACTATTATTCCCAGCCAGGTTCATACTATGCCCTGCAAATATTACATTCATTATATGCCAAATACGTTCGCCATATTGAGTTATAAATTGCTGTATTCGTAACCATCATATTTTGAGATGGAATTAACAAAAATACATGGTGAACAAAAATCTATGAAACCGAAATCAGGTTAAATTTATATCGTTCCTGAAAATTTCAATACATAAACCTAACTTTATATATTTTAAATCACAAAATGTCATACAAGTAAGTTCAGAATTCTATGATTGCTAAGATGAAGAATTTTCTAAAATGGAAAGGATTTATGATACGTACTTATGTATTAAACAGGTGTTCTAGCTATTGATGACCGTATTTCAGTAATATACAAAGTTAGGCGTTCTAGCTACTAATGACCGTATTTCAGTAATATACAAGAAAGTCATCAAACTTTCTTTTAGATTGGGGATATGTATTGTTAAGAAACATGACATCTGACAATTTAACAATTGAAGTCGGTACTTATTTCTCTAACACGAATAACATAGAGGCGTGGTTATATGGTTATAAAATATATAACAAAATCTCAATTCTCAAAATCTCAAGTAGTTATCATTATGTAGGCAATATCTATGGAATGCTGTTTAGAGATTGATATTGGACAAACCAACAACATCTTCTAGAGTTTTGGAAACCAAAAAAGTATTTATTATATTTATTTATTCAAAAATGGTTTGAATTATAGTTTAGGCTAGCTATGCAATACTTCGTCTGGTCATCTGCGTGCATTTCATTGTATATAGCGTTTATAAAGGACATAAATTTTATGCGGTTGAATAATTCAATCTCAAAACATAGATGTTGCCATCGCTTTTCTTCTGTTATGAATCATAAACAGTTAATATATGTAGTTTTTAATCAAACAGTAAGTTGGATCAGAGGTAAGTTTACGAGTTTACCAAGCTGGAAATCCTAGGTTCGACTCCTCAAGGAGAATATAGCGTAGATATTCTATCGTATAGTTTTGCGGTAAAACAAACTTACAAATAATATATCTACAATAGTGCATCATTAATTTAAGAAGAGCAAATCTGGACAGCCATTACATTGTATACGATTAAGCCGATTTATGTTTCGCTCCTGTTGCCTCAGGAATGTGTATGAGTACTAATAAATCGTGATTCACATATCTTTGGAATGAAATGAAGATATTAACTGTGAAGGACGAAGAACATGTTGTATAGCTGTAAAATTAGATGTTTGTTCCATGTGAGGATCTGAGATACTTTGTAGCATATTAATAAAAAGCTCGTCATCATTTGTATTTAGCACGAGAAACAAACATTAACATTCAACAATTGATAAATTGACAGAACTTACGACGAACTAATGCACATAGTTAGCGTCAACTCTTGACAAAATAACAGGCAGATAAGAACGAGTCATACAACACGAAATGTAAAACGTTTAAGCTTTAGTTGAATCTATAGATTAAGCTATTACGTCTGACAAAAGTGGACTAAGCCTACAACATTGGCATTATTAAATTACTATATTGATTCGTTAGCTAACTGTCCTTCCTCACAGAGATTCTAGCCATATAAATGTAGAAGCTCTCATTAAATATTCATGACAAAATGTACAAGGTGGAAGAAAGTTAGATAATTGACTAATATTTAGTTTTACAATGAAATAAATTTTCCTTTTGAAAGTGCTTGTATTTTTTTCTTTGTTGCTAATCGCAAAGCTACACAATGTGCCATCTATTTTCTGTCCATCGCAGGTATCGAAACCATATTTTAAACATATAATCCCTCAGAATTACCGCTGAGTCATTGTGGAGCTGGGGGCTTAGATCATGTGTGTTTCCACGTATTTGCATATTAATACAACGCTATCAAATAAATATAAAGACATTTTGAAACTTTCAGCAACCAGGAGGTATTTATGGTATAAATGAAAGACTTGTGGTTAAGAAACATACCACATGTTAATTTTCAACATATTGTAAGTTGCATCTCTGACACAACTCAAATTATTTGTGTTATTTTTCTAAGATTTGTTTGTAATCGAACACAAAGTACGCAATTTGCTCTATGCCCACAACGGTATCGAAACCCGGTTTTTAGTGTTATAAGCCTTCAGACTTACCGCTGAGCCACTGGACGTCGGGGTGGGGGTTAAGTGAAATATACACAAAGGGTCTTCGTTATTTGCACGTTTGGTATTTTGGTGTTTCTACATTGTCAACTTCTTACCGTTGGAGAGATGAAATAGACTATCATTAAACTCAAAGGACTTCAGTTTTTTACTCCGAGAAGGTCATTTTAGGTCGGCTGGATTGGACTTTCACAGTATACGTTTTTCTAAAGTAGTTTTTCAACCACTTTCTGTTGGCAGTTTGTAATGGAATTAGCAAAAAAAAAATATTTGAAGTTTTTCCGCATTAGACTGGTGCCTTATTAATCCAGCTGATGAGCTCCAGTAGTTTCCTGGGTGTTTGTGGTTTACCAATGGATAAAAATAATACGTAGAAGCCCTCGTTTCACCCGTAAAAGATAATCTACGAGCTACTTATTTTATAGATCATACGTCTTTATAAACTGATATCAATCTAAAGGTTTTGAAAATTACCGATTTACTTTTAAAACTCTTACTCAACGATGACGTCACTGCGCAGTCCTTTGTGAGGAGTGCAATAACTACGTGCACAGAAGCAGCCTGGTATATTTGTTCGGAGTTCAGCCCAAGCTGAGAGGCAGTAGGGTTATATCGCACGAGAGCGAGACTGGTTCTTAAATTAGAACAAGTCACAGACAAGAGAAGAGATTAGAAAGATGTGCTCACTATTTTGATGTGTCAGAGTTTTCAGAATTTGTTTTATACAGGTAAGAAATATATTAATTGTTGTAAAGAAAAGTTTGATTGACCTTCTGTTTCAAATACTTCAATAAATCACACACCTAATGTTTGCAACCTCTGACACTAGTTAGTAAAGTTTTAGTTAAGAATCATTCTTTATAGATACTAACAGCTTAACAGTATTTGTAAGAGTTTTGTTAATAACAAAAATAGTTTTATCTGGTCTACATATCATAGGAATGTTTTATGGCTCAATTTATGAATGTGAAGTTTTTGTGTACTAGAGTCTTAAATCTAGTTTAAAATACTTCCTAATCTCTGAATCTTAATGATCACCTGCTCAACTACTGTTAATTCACTTTGAACTTAGCCAGTTTGCGCTGAAAACAGTCACAAAGTATTCTTCCTTGACAGAGATATAGTTGTACATTTTTTTTAAAGTCAAGATCAGTTAAAGCTAGAACATTTCGTAATCAGTGATTCGGAATTAATAAAATTCGTAACTTTATCTATTTCTAAGCTTCACTTAATGTGTTATAACACGGAACGTTTCATTTATTATTATAGCACAGGAAAAATTAAAACTGTTGAAAATATCAAGATTTTAAGGAGCGTTTTAGAAAACATGCTGAGTTATGCGATAAAGTTAGGTTTTGAAATAAAGTAAAAGTATGGATAGCAGCATTAAGAAGTGGAGTTGAAATAAAAAAAGATCAAATACTGCTTAAATGAAGATAATAAAAGATGTGATTTATGTCAGGTTAACTTACAACCGATAAAACATTTTATAATAGACCGTAAAATGTGGAATAGGGCAACAATGTAAAAACGATGCTTGACAAAAAGATAGAGATTTTAGAATATTATATAAGGGACATATGACAACTTAGTTGTTTAAGATATTAATCTTACGGTGTTGAAAGCTAAAAATGGAAATAATTTAACCATTTTAAAATAAATATATAACTTAATTAATGAAATTAAACAAAAAGTAATAACAAGCCGTTATATTGTTAAAAAAATAATATTATTGTTAACATGTATTAAGAATTCACTCTTTTGATAATAATAATAATAATGAAATTGTAGGTATATATATATATATATATATATATATCATATTTTTAATACTTGTCCTTATGTAGTTTTGAAACTACAAAATAATGCTCCCCTCCTCAGTGACTCACTCGTAAGTTTGAGAGCTCACACCACTAAAAACCAGTTTCGATACTCGTGGTGTGCACAGCACCGATAAATCAACAAACAAACCAAAAATGTTAAAGTATTAGTTTTAAATGATCTCACTGAATATTTGTTGCCAAGGGATTTGGATAGGCTGTGTAAATAATTTTAATTCAACCAGCAGGTTCTAAAAAACACATTTATTATGAAGATAAAGTTATATGTATACATATATATATACATATATATCTTTAAATTTGTAATATTAAACAAAGAATCTCCTCGCTTCAAGTATTACACATAGTTTATCCTAAAACTTATCATTTTTAAATCGATTTTCAAAAATGAGTCGCCATCATAAAGAGTCAACTCTATTCCATATAAAGAATTATTGTAATAAAGCACTCTCAACCTGTTATGTTACACTTGATAACTAAAGCTTGGCCTTATAACATAACGGAAAAGAATGGGTAAAGTGAGGCTTTAGACATTAGTTCGAATTCTTTTACTGACAGCTATTCGTACTCTGGGTAAGGAAAAAAAAAAACTATCAGAGATTATACATCATTAGCTGGTATAATAACAAATATATGTAAAATTCATATGATAAACTTCCACATCGAGATTACCATCATTTTGAATACGTTTTCAATAAGTTCGTGTCATAACGAATTCAGCTTTTCAGTTTCTTTTATTCAAAGCTCAGTTCTAAAGGTCATTTCGCTTTCTCAAAATTGGTTTATATTTCTAGTGATTCTTTTTACGACAAATGATATATGTGTATGTTTTTAAGATTTCGCTATGTGTGTTATACATTTTTGATATGGCTGCTGCATTCCTACAACAGAAGAAAATCCATGAAAACACGAGAGTTTAATATACGTAAAAAAACTAAAAAAAACGTCTATAACTCATTCAGATTCTTTAGGACTCATAAGTAACTTTTAAGATATTTCGGGATTCCTATGAAAATTTTATTTTAAAAACGATATTTTTTGTGTTACTCGTAGTTGCTTGTGTCGAAATAAAATTGTTTAATATTTGGTTATATGGGTTAAAGTTGTTTCTTCTGTTTGTTTTTTGTTGTTGTTAAGGAAAAAGCTACACAATAGGCTACCTGTACAGTGCCCACCACGAATATCTAACCCCAGATTTTTAGTAGTGTGCCTAAGATTTACTGAGTCAGTGGGGGGCAACAGTTACAATAAATTTTGTGCTTAAACTAGAAATTATATTGTTTATATAGACAAAAATACTTACATAATCAACCTTTACGAGAATAAGCCAAAAGTTTTTAAAAAATATATTCTTTACCTCAATCACACCTGAGTTACCTTCCGTGGACGACTTAGCCTCCCTTGGTATGGGTAATATGCCATACAGGAAAGGACACCCCGAACTAATCCGAATACGTTTGCTAAGTTTGGTCCTGCTATCTCCAAAACTCTGGAAAAAGTTCGTGTTTAACCAAATAAACAAATTCACAAACTCATAACGTCAATTAATACAGGATTGTATCATTCTATAAAGACATTTACAAACTCACAACGTCAATTAATACAGGATTGTATCATTCTATAAAGACATTTACAAACTCACAACGTCAATTAATACAAGATTGTATCATTCTATAAAGAAATTCACAAACTCACAACGTCAATTAATACAAGATTGTATCATTCTATAAAGAAATTCACAAACTCACA